GTGTTGTAAATTATTAGTGCAGCTTAAAGTTTCTTTTTGGGAAATCGTGCCCGGGTTGTTTTATTTTGAACCAAAGTTGATTCACAGATTGTTAGATTCTGGAGATGAAATGCCCCAACTTTCCAAATTTGTGACTGAATTATTAACCACAATCATATGTGATTTCTGAGTTTTATCTGTAAATTTGAAATTTTGGAGAATATTTAAACTTTCCCCTCAGTATCTTTAGTTTTCACAGCTGAATTATAAACACAACGGAGGGGGGGGGGCTTTGTTTAAATGACATACCCCATTTCTCTCTCTACTGTCTTCCTGCTTTTTCTCTGTTGTTGACTAGCAAAAGCATAAAATGCTTTAAAAGTTGTTTAATGCATATATGTCAAAACAATGTGCTTGACCACAACTATCTTTCTATATAAAAACCTACACCAACTACATTTGAACATATTCACATCCATTGTAAGTGTATTCTCTGCTCTTTCTCATGCAACTTTTCTGACTGTTTATATCTTGTAGGTGCCATTTTCTAATTGTAGTGAGGACTGTGAACCTGGCACAAGAAAGGGGATCATAGAAAGCATGCCCACGTGTTGCTTTGAATGCACCGAATGCTCAGATGGAGAGTACAGTAATCATAAAGGTATTGCAATGTCAAACATTCATGATCTCATGTGTTACACAACTGGCTAATGTTGCAGTTCTAACACAGATGATTATTTTTATTTACACAGATGCCAGCGTTTGCACCAAGTGCCCAAATAACTCTTGGTCCAATGGTAACCACACATTCTGCTTCCTGAAGGAAATTGAGTTTCTCTCCTGGACAGAACCGTTTGGGATAGCTTTGGCCATTTGTGCAGTACTGGGTGTTCTCTTGACAGCCTTTGTGATGGGAGTCTTCATCAGATTTCGCAACACTCCTATAGTGAAGGCCACAAACCGAGAACTGTCCTATGTCCTCCTGTTCTCACTTATCTGCTGCTTCTCCAGCTCTCTCATCTTCATTGGCGAGCCCCTGGATTGGACATGCCGTTTACGCCAACCTGCCTTTGGGATCAGTTTTGTTCTCTGCATCTCCTGCATCCTCGTGAAAACTAATAGAGTACTCTTGGTATTTGAAGCCAAGATCCCCACAAGTCTCCATCGTAAGTGGTGGGGATTAAACCTGCAATTTCTGTTGGTATTTCTGTGCACATTTGTCCAAGTTATGATTTGTGTGGTCTGGCTTTACAACGCCCCTCCTTCCAGCTACAGGAATCATGACATTGATGAGATCATTTTCATCACCTGCAATGAGGGCTCTGTGATGGCTCTGGGGTTTCTTATTGGCTATACGTGCCTCCTGGCAGCTATATGTTTCTTCTTTGCATTTAAATCACGGAAACTTCCTGAAAACTTTACAGAGGCCAAGTTCATCACTTTCAGCATGCTTATATTCTTCATTGTTTGGATCTCTTTTATCCCTGCGTACTTTAGTACTTATGGCAAGTTTGTTTCAGCTGTGGAGGTCATTGCTATACTGGCATCCAGCTTTGGAATGCTGGCCTGTATCTTCTTCAACAAGGTCTATATCATCCTCTTCAAACCCTCCAGGAACACCATAGAGGAAGTCCGATGCAGCACCGCAGCCCACGCTTTCAAAGTGGCTGCCAAAGCTACACTAAAACATAATACGGCTGTGAGAAAAAAGTCCAGCAGCATTGGTGGATCTTCTGCGTCGACTCCGTCCTCATCCATCAGCCTCAAGACCAACGACAATGACTGTGGCCCGACTTCAGAAAAACATAAGCCAAGGGTGAGCTTTGGCAGTGGAACAGTTACTCTTTCCTTGAGCTTTGAGGAGTTGAGGAGGAGCTCTCTCATGTGATAGCAAACGTGTGGATGTGTCAAACTTCAGCTTTATCTATCCCCTTGATAGGGTGTATTTTGGACTTTATTTTGAAATGCATTTACACATAGATCTTTTCATCTTCCCATTTCCTTAACATTTCATCAGAAAGATCACATTTCACTTCAGGTTAACAATATCAGTCCAACTAATATAATGTACTATACCTGAATCCTGTGACTCCTTTATAATTTTCATAACCATGATGTACACTGCTAAAATTAATAAAAGATTTTGTACAATTAAAAACATTACACTGGATCCTTAAGTTCTTGTTTTTTATCTATCTATCTATCTATCTATCTATCTATCTATCTATCTATCTATCTATCTATCTATCTATCTATCGATCTATCTATCTATCTATCTATCTATCTATCTGTCTGTCTATCTATGTATCCAGAATAATGGAATTCAGAAACAATTAACACGAGTGACTTTTTTTTAGGTAAATTAGATTACTATTCAGGCGCAGTGCAGCAATTACATAAACAAAAATCAAGTGGGACAGACAACTCAGGTTCACAACATTTGACCATAGGACAGCCCAGGCTCTTCAACTGGATAAAAAAAACTAGAGGATGTACTCTAGGAGTCACACTGTAAATATACAATTACAGGGTGTTGACAAAACTTCCATGCTTAGTGATTACATTCTATAGTCAATCACAAGACAACAACAGAAATGTAATAAAGTGTAGTCCCTCAACATGATGTTGCCATATCCATGCCGTCTTATTTGGGTTGTCTTTGGTCAGTTAATTTTAAGCAAAGTTTGAAACAGTATAGAAATAAATTATGAAATTAATTGTAAACTAGATGTAGTAATAAATGAGATTTAGTTGTTTGGCTTAATAAAGGATGCGCCACTGCTGTCATAATAGCCTCACAGACAAGTACTAAGTCATGACATCAAGCATGTTGCCTCCCCAATTTAGAAACCCTCTGATCTGAGTAATAGAAAAAACCCTGATTGAAAAATGATAAACAGTGAACATGGTGATAGAGCTCCACGGTATAGATCTTTCAGAGAACTTTCTCTGCTTGCAGCTGGCTTATCACACCTCTCTGACAACTGCAAATAGTGCAGGTCTATCTCACATGTTACTGTCATTCTCACAATTGGCCTTCACTACACAGTCATGTCCTCGCAGCATGGAGGTAGAGTGTAGAGAGGGAGGAGGAGCAGCTTGGGGAAGGCACTGTAATCCACTCAGAATTGCATCAGGTTTATAGCCAAGCAGGTTTTGACTGAGAGAATTTGAGAATTTGCCTTGGTATCCTGGTGCATAACAATAAACATTGTAGGCAGAAAATATAAAGATCTGTCTGATGGTAAAGAAACTAAGTTGTAACTATTTCTTTAACTATTTATTTGAGTACATTAATCATAAATTACTAATAGTACAATAAAATAATATACAACAGTATAAAAGTGCCATACATTAAGTATATTTTGCTAAAATACTTGAGATTAAATTTTGAATCCAGGACTTCTTTCATGTAATTACCAAGTAAAAAAAACTAATGAGAGTTGAGAACAGAAATACTTATTAACAGCAAACCAAAAGGAAACACATTCTGAGTGATACGAAAAGCAGAATTCATTACAATAGTAATTCAAGAAAAGATATTAATAAATAAGTTCAATAAAGAGTGATTTTATGTCGACATAGAAAAAAAACAAGTAATAGTATGTTATATTGATCCCACTGTTTCTGTTAAACTATTACTTAAACATGGTTAGACCTTTCCCGAAGGGAATGTCTCAAGAAGGAAAAAAGTAGGTAAAAGGCATTTGAGGAGTACAGGACCTCCCACATTGCTCAACAGGAGGAAGACATGCTGAGACATCCAGTGTCATGGCTGACCTGCAGGCTGAGGAGCAGCTGGATAACCACCTTCTCTCTTAGCAGGAGGAAAAGGCCTTTATCCTCAGAGCCAGTGCAGCCCAGCAGAGAGACCAGCATGGTGTCTGATCTGCAGCACAATGAGAAAGATATTGGACACAATGACCAGGAAGCATTGCATGATGGGAATGTTTGTCAGAGCCGAGCCGCTGCCCTGGTTGGGAAAGAGAAGAGGACACATCCATTTCCTACAAGGGCTCTGGCAAAGTCCTGCAATTACAAATGAAGAACCTGAGCACACTGACACAAGTGCACACACAAACACTTGTTTTCTTGTTTTCTAAAGGCTGCATTGTACATGTATTTTATACTGCTGTTTTCAAGGAATGATCAAATTGGATGGATTTGCATCAGGACCTTGAAATGATAAGATCCCATCCCAAAAGGTCACATTTTAGTCCAACATAGGCTAATCAATCCATATTCTGTAATTTACATATTGCTGAAGTCAAATATACTTGGCCTTATTACTACTAAACAGCTATGTTAAAATCTTATAGCAATGCAGTATATATATTTCGCCGTACTCAACCATACCAGTATGGTTTTCAGTAACATGATGCAAGTGTAGCCTATGTATAGGCATACACAAAGTATATATAACAAAGTATAATGTAGGGGAACAAGTTAAACTAATTATAAGACCTTTACAAGATCTCAACCCATTTTATACCTATGGAAGATTTTGCACCAACGTGTAAGACAATGCAGTCTCTAGCGAAATGTCAAGTAAATCAATGTAAACTGTCATCAGGAGGGACATACAGTGGGGACGATCTACATTTCGAAAACCACATACCGGAAGTGTTTCAAGCCACCTCAACAAAGAACAACGACTTCCTGTTTGTTGATGTTGCCTTCAAAATTAAAGTTTTTCAGGTACTAGTGTGTGTTAATCTCACGGTTTTATTAACGTTAGAAGAATAAAATAGACACACAGACATCCTAAGGTATCTGCTGAGCCCAGAACACATTTTTGAAAATCTTTAGCAGACTTTTTTTGAGAGGACTAATGTTAATGATGTGTTACATATCATAGCTGGTAATTGTAAAAGAGGCTATCTTAAGTAATTTATTACCCTGACCTCTTTATATCACCGGATAGCTTATAAACAGACACTTGTGAGCTAATGGGAAGAAATTGCTTTTAGAGATGTGTTCCCAAATCCCGCTGTTCATTTAGTGTGAAATGCACCCGGCAGAAGTATTGTATATGAATGTTGACTTGACACTATTGTCGTTTGCTCCTGGGTTTACAACATAGACTGTATACAACAGGGTTTACAACCTGGACGGAAGCTTTTGTTAATGGTAAGGTGCGCCAACCAAATCGCTAACTGTTGAAATGACAGTGCTCGTTGTTAATGAAGTAAGGTCTGTGTTTGGGCTCCACTGTGTGTGACTGTTATTGCTAATATTTAAGTGTTAACGGTAACGTTACAGCACTTTACCTCCGCATCCGCCAGCTAACGTTAGCAGTTAACTACGTTACATTTTATCTGGGCACAGCTAACGTTACTTTACAGCCAGTTTGCGGAACAAATTAGCTTTTACTGCCATAAAATGTGGACAGTAATCAGGAAGAGGAGAAGGAGCTGACAGCGAAATAAAAGGTGGTAACTGTTATCTTGCCTAGTCTTTTTCATGAGTAGCGTAACAGTAAGTTAACAGATACCATTGTGCTGCTCCGAGCTAGCTAACGTTAGCGTTATCTTGTTATTGTATCACTAAGCTAAATGGATTCGCAAACGTTCGTTGTAATACAAACTGGCGTAACACAGCACATTGTCTGCATTCATATCCTTTTGATGATAAACGCTAATAATGTTAACCTCTTTTAAGTTGCATTTTTTTGGTTCTCTGATTTACAATCGGTTATTAGTTGTGGGTAACTTTTGACAAACCTAACGTTACTCAAGTTAAAGTATAAAAGTATTTGGTCAATAAACTACTCAAAGTAGAAGTCCCTTTGTGTTTTTATATTGTTTAGTCTGTTTAGTCAGAGAAGTCATTTTATGCAAGGCCGTATCAATCTCAAGTCTCTCTTTGGACAAAAATGTGTTTCTGTGCAACATGGTTTCTAGGGAGTGCGCTTTGCATGTCTCTAATTAGCTATTCTGTACAGTTTTTTTTATCTACATAAAGGTATCGATAAGATCACACCAGCTGACTAGAACGTGTGACCTAATATAATCTTGATATGGACGTGTAGCCAACCAAACCACATGCTTTCCTATCAAGAGCGCTATATATGATTTGCCTTCCCCAGTAGCTCGGGGACCCGATTAAAAGTGATTATTCCTAAAGCATCTATGATAATCATCTTAATAATGTGAAGAAAGGTTGTGACAATAACGAGGGAGTGACCCAGTACTGCATTAAGGCAAGTAATGCCTAAAGCCCAAAAGGACTGACCACCCACATTTACTCTATCCCTTCTTAGAAAAACACAATTGTTCTATAAAAACAACTAGTAAGTAGCCTGCTGAATGAAAGCCAAGATCAGTTTCACATCAAGTAAAAAATGAAATAAATCCAGTAATCTGCCTTACAGACTAAATTCGCTTTATATACGCCATTAATGGAAGTGAAAGGGGGGTTGTAGCCAATTCTGTGGTCTGGTCGCTGCCACACAGACCACTGGTCGCTACCACAGTCTCTAAGGGAAGGCTCCTTTCTGTTCCTTGTCACACAAACTGTGGCTGTATTAAAAAAGGTCAGTTTCAAGTTTTTATACAGTCTATGGTTCCAAAGTAGACCTAAAGTGACCTTAGATCATTTAAATTATCTCAACTGGCAGATGATACAATTTTTTTGTCTAATAGAGAGGAATGGATCAAAGCAATTTTCTATGGTATCAGGCTTAAGAATGAACTTGAACAAATCTATTTATTATTTACATTAAAAAGATAAACAGACTTAAATGAGCATACTTTCCTAATAAACTACCTTACGCCGCGCACCGCATGACTGACAGGATGGCTGCACTTCTCCACCATCAGCCACTATCGTGCTCACAGTGAACATGAAACTAGAATTAGACTCTGTATTGACTGCTGCTTATTTGTTTAGCATTATTGGCTTTTTGATGCATCCTCCATAAATTAAATATTATACCTATCATAAGTATTATGATCTAGATATATTTGTTACTGTAGATAGGCTATAACCACACAAACCGTAATATCTAGTGCAACAATAAGAGTAGGCATAATCGATAACAGTATATTTAACAAAGAATTATAATAAAGATGTATTACATAGTAGATACAACCAACTGCAACCAGCGGTCAGTGTGGCAGCGACCACTGTCTTCAGCGCCCCTAGTGGCAGCGACCACAACAACCAGTGTGGCAGCAGTGGTCTGTGTGGCAGCAACCCAAGACTGTGGAGTCTCGTCTCATGCCCTCTCTCGCCAAATTAAAAGATTAAGTCTGGTTCGCAATGTCTTCTTCATACTTCATACGTGTTTTTGAATTGAATAACGGCAACCATGAGAATAAAGTACTATCTATTCATTTCCAGGCCATTTTATCAACTTAGTTAGCCATTTAACTGGCTATTTAGCTAAATCGGTGCTTTTAATTGAAACAAATTAAACTTTTCATAAAGCCGATGCTCTCGTTAGTGTCACTTTTTGTGAACAAATCAATCACAGCCTGGATGGAGCAGGATTTAAAAAAAAAAAAAAAGCTGCGACAAACTTTATAAATGTTGAACACAGTTCTGATAATTGACGAGTTAGTAGCCTGCCCAAAATCAAGGTTGGAGACTATCATGTAGCCTAGAGCATTTTTCTTACACAAAGTTGTTGAATAAAAAGCAACCCCAAACTGAAGCAGCTGTAATTTGAATTAATATTATACTAGTGGTAAGTTATATACTATTATATGAAATTATATTGAATATAGTAAGATAATGAATATATTAATATCAAACTTACAGTTTACTATTAAATTAACAACATAACTTCAATTTAATGTTATAATATTATACTAATACAGTCATTTAGACTAGTTCCTCCTCCAGGTTGTGCCTGTGCGCCGCCGCCTACACTACTTACGTTATTCATCACTCAGTTTATTCTCTTCATCTTTGTTAACTCCTGGCCTATTTGAATTTTGTTGTATTGATCAAGTGGTCGATGAAAGTTATCACATATCGTTGCAGGCAAGCTCAAATTATCTAGTTTAAACCAACTTAAACACAAAATTACAGTGTGGTTCACATGATTTTCTGTAATGCTGCGTACATAAACGTCATATCTTATGTAAGACAGTTGCTTTTCGAAGGAAATTTGACCAGTCCTTCACATAGTAAACTGTTGGCCCATACAGGCTGTTATAGGCAACTGAGAAAGTTGGTGCCTCAATTTTTAGGTGGTGTTACAACCTGAAGACATATAGGCAATAAATATGTTATATGTATATGTTATACACTTAAATTCCTTTTAAAAACTCAAAAATGTCCCTTTTAAAGGTGTATGGCTGATTTAATCTGTTACAGCTCAAAGTGGTGCAGCAGTCTTAAAATATGTTGAAAAAGTCTTGAAAAGGTCTTAAAAAGGTATTGAATTTTACTTCAGGACTCCTGTGTATATACCCTGGGCTTCCATTGACACAGTGTGTAGTTACTGGATTTGAGTTACATTAGTAGGAAAACCTTAGATTGAAAAAGTATTTGCGAAACAGCGGTGCAATATGATACTACACTTTGGCAAGTGTGTACTTACTGGTTCTTTCAGTGTTGCTTAACAGACTAAATGGCCTTGAGCAAAATAAAGAAAAGAAAAATGAGGAAGTTGAAGTTAAGGCACTTAACCGGTATGTTTTCCCGCACCTTAGTTTGTTATCTTTATATAAAAGGAATGTTTTGTTGTCATATGAAAAGTATGGACATATCTCTTTAAAAATAGAAACTGCTCTGTCAGGGTATTACTTTGTATGAGCAGGTGTGGTAGTTTTAGAGTGATTTTCTTTGCAGTAACATCTTTTCTCTCTAAATCAATTTACAGTTGTTGGTGAACTCACCTTTTTGGCCTCACCTCCTGAAACTGGATTTGGAGGCTTCAGCGATGAATTTTCCCCAATATGGTTTCCATACTTCACAGTGATCGTTGATTTACTGTATAGATCAGCATGTTTCATCACCATGGAATGAGTGGTTAATGAAACTGTGGCTGTCAGTATTTTTGCTGAAATGTCCTGCACGGAGGAGATATCTTAAACTACAACTTTGACTTCCACTTGTTCTGCTTCACGTCAACGGAGTCACACAGCCATGAGCTTCTGTTCACCTGTGTGCAAGATTTTGAGGAGGGGGAAGTATTTTTTACTGCTCCTGCTCTCTCTATCAGTGCTGGCATGGATCGCAACTTTTTCAAGCGAAACTGTGAAATCCTTTCACATGTCCTCCACCACAACACAAACTCTCAAACAACACAGCTTGAGGGATGAACTCACCTCTTTGACAGAGGCACCCATTCACTTAAATACTCCACCAAAAGTCGAATGCCCTGAGAAGTCACCATTGCTACGTAAGTATACTCCATAGTGCAGGTGCTATGTAATAAACCAAACAATGCTTTATGCCAACATTTAAAAGGTTATTGAGTATTAGGGAACTAGCAGACCTGTTCTTATGTAATGTAATGAATCTACAGTTGAAGGATCTCATTCCCAGTGTTTGTCAGCTTTATAATCTCAAAATACTTGTCTGTCTTGGATCGGTTCAACAAGGAAGCAAAGAAATAGTTTGAAATGACACAGTTGGAAAAATGTTTTATAATGTTTATTTAGCAAAGCCTAATTTAAATGTGATATTTTGCTTGTGACTTAATCTGTTTACTGTGTCATGAATCACATATAACAGAATGATCACCAGAATTTAAGAATGGGGATAAATAGGTGATGTGTACGTGTGTGAGCCATAGGCTGCGGTCGAATTATTGGTTGAATCTGTTAACTTCTACAGATGGAGCTGTGAAGCTGTCCTTTGAATCCTCTCTGAAACTGAAGGACGTGGAGACTAACAACAAAGGAGTGACTAACGGCGAGTATGAGCCCTCAGACTGTACAGCGAGGCAGAGCGTAGCGATCCTCATCCCTCATCGCAGCAGAGAGAGACACCTCCTCTATCTCCTGCACCACCTGCACCCCTTTCTGCAGAGACAGCAACTACATTACACAATTTATGTCATCCAGCAGGTAGTCCTTCACACACCATGCACAGTTTTATGTCACACAGTTTTCATATAAAGGGTGTTAAGGGTTCATGCATGTAAACCTAAGCACAGAGTAAGGAGCTCACTCTGTGGAAAAAATAATGCTAGTTTAAGTAAAGAATTATGTAAAATAAATGTGTGTCTTTATTGGATTTCTTTTGTAGTATTTTCTTCAAATGACAAAATGTCAAACAGGTAAAACATAAAACGTGTGCAGCACAGATAGACTGTATTGAAAGACGGACACAGAGGGGGTTGGGTTTATAGCATGTACTGCAGCCAGTCACTAGGGGGCAAGCAAGATGTTTGGGCTTCACTTTTGGGAAGCTGTCATGTCGTCCATCTTTATATACAGTCTAAGGCTGCGGTCGAAAAGTCTTTTTTGCTTGGGAAGGTTCGTAACTGAGTGAAGTGAACCGGAAGTATTTCAGTGGCAGCCATGATAAGAGCTGTTCAAATTCTCTAAAAACTAAAGAAGTATCCTCAATGCTTCCTTTCTTATCTTTTTTAGCATAGGGTACACCGGACCATCCTTTACGAAAGGAAAGGAGATAATGCCGTACCACAATTCCTTGCGGTAGCAACATTTAAAGCTGTGCACGTTGTCAAACTCAAACAATAAAATTCATTGACCACATTTAGCAAAATCCTTCCAATACTATGATCCTTGAATAAGACACTCACAATTTCCTTCTTTCTTTTGCTTTTGCTGTAATCTAATGCAGTTTCAACACCATTTTATGTTTCGGATTGTTGAAATATGCTATAAAGTGTTTTATTACAATTTTCTACAATATAAAAAAAAATAACTCACCATAACTCACTAACTCGCATATGTCTTGAACTGTCAACAATAACTATGTTACTAGTCTTGTAAAATGCCTTCAGTAATTCTATACAACAATTTTACTTCAGTCACAGATGCTGACACCCTCACCTTATAAAGGCAATGATGAAGTTGTATGACCACTACAGTAAATGTAATGTATTATTTCAATGTCTCCCACACATTGATTTATTTGTGGCGACCTGCCACATTTCCAAAGCTGACCGCCACAGATTGTGCTTTATAGGTGAGATATTTATTAGTCCTTTCGGAAATTCATAGTGATATGATACATAGTCATACAGCAAACATCAGACCAGCCAGCTGCTTTACAAACACAAACATCACCCGAGTGCTATACAAGTTATACTACAGGCTCGTGCAGACTACACGACTTTTAGTGTCGGCCAATGGCCGTGCCGTTCACACAACTTGACGTCATATGACTGCAGTCTTGAAGTCGTTGTGGTGTTCACACTACGTGACTGATTGGTGACAGGTACATACACACTACAGGAGCTGACAGCGACTGTGTCACCTGACGCTGCTCTCCAAACCATGTTTTGTCAAGAAAACCTGCGTGAAATGTGAAACGGGAAATGAGCGATCCTGCACACGAAACAGCTGTTGTTTGTTATTATAAAGATAACAATTATAAAGACAAAGAATCTGGGTGAAGGATGGATTAGCATACGCAGGTAGCAGGGATTGTCTGAGCTACAGAGCTGGAGGGGAGTTAATAGGTGCAGCTCCCCGACACCCAGTTAACTCCTGACTGTGAGGTTACAACTCACGGGCCAATAAGGAGAACAACAAACGCACATGTACATTTTCAGCTGAAGACTGCGGCTTACTTTGATTGTTTAGTTGAAGGCTAGCCAATCATGATTTCAGCTAAATGCTAAAGTTGCTGTTACTGTTACCATGTCTGGACACTTTGGACTCTCTCTTCCTCCACTTTGCAAACAGCTCCATTATATGTCGTGTTCACAGCATAAGCGCGATGTACGACAGTAATAAATGTCCCTGCGAAACACTGTGCTGGAAAATTATATGGATTAAACGAAGCATCGATGTAAAGAATTTGTGTCAAAGCACTTTATTAATCGATTTAATCGATGAATCGTTTCAGCCCTAGTCTAAAGTACCATCATGTGATGGATTTTAGAGTCGGACTGTGTCACCTAGACTTTTGTATTTGCAAAGTACAGAAGTCAAAGAGAAAGTTACTGTATAAGGACCATGGCCAGTGCTGTCCTGAAATGTCACTGCAAACAGCTGAGTGCAGGAGGTTCCCAATGTGCTGAAATGACGCAGACTTTTTCGGGCAATTTCAGTACAATAACCTTCGAATCATGGCAACCAATTCCTCTTCAACAGAGAGGCAAGACATTATGGTAAAACTACTGACTGCAGTCAGCCAAAAGTTTGTGGTTCCAGACACCCCGGCAAAGGGGGAAATGCACATATGAGTGTGTTTGTGTGTATATATACCACTTCAACAACATGACTAGAGAACAGTTGAAGGTGAACTGGGAGTTTACATTGATTGATGAGACTTGATGCATTTTTTTACCGTGTAACTGACACAAGTCCAGCTCGTAACTCGGCGGGGCCTCTCCCGTCTTGTACAGTGTGGGCCCCAGTGCAGCTGCACTGTCTGTACTGTCAATACCTACGTCCCTGGTTATTGGTAAAATCGTATTTCATTACAGAGCTGCGCATAGCCTATACTATTCGCTTAGCACCTCCTCACGCTCGGGCACTCTCTCTCCCTCTCTCTCGCCACAGTTACGCTGTCATTCTGTGGCAAACACTGTGTTGACATACAATAATCAGCATTCATGTTGATAAATGGGCTATGGGTGGGCAGGAGGGTGAGTGTGAGCAAGCATTCTCAATGTGACAACCCTTTCCATTATTTTGTGACTCATACCTTATAGGCCTTTTTGCTATCTTGATTATTTAGTAATGAATTCCACCGTGTTGTCCACCTTTTTAGATGGCCTGCATTAAAACAACACAGGGCGCAGTGTCAAAGATGCACATTTTGCAGTCCAACTTCAGAAGATTGTAGTTTCATCACAGCAGGTCACGTCAGTAACATCCGCCGTTGCTTATTACGTTGCCTAGAAAAGAGCAGTCGGATTCTCTGAGCCCCGCAGTCCTCTTTTTCTAGCAAGTAGCAAGAGCAAGTCCTTATGAATTCTCCTTCACATCTTTCATTGAATCTCATGATGTTTTTCATCAAATTCAAGGAAAGGTGGTTAGGAAAGGAGATTTTTTTTTACCTTTCGACCGCAGCCTATGGCTCACACACGCACACGTCACCTATTTATCCTGATTAGTTCGTTTCCGTTCTGCCCTAATTGTACAAAATGCTTCACAATGTTTTGGTTATGTGGTCATCTGGTTCCCTACTGAGGTTTGTGTCTGGCTCCAATGGTGGATACTTATAGAAATCAACCAGAATAAAGCACCGACATTCCTTCACATTCACCGGCTGCTTTGTAATTTATGATAATAGCCTGAATATGATGACGCCAACAATTATAGTTAGTTAGTAACTGGCCCACACGAGTAGCAAAAAAAATTCTGTAGTTGACCCTGTACTCTGACCTTCCTACCTATTATAAATCATTGTTATTTTCAATGCATAAAACAGATGAAAGGGGGGTGATACAACAGAAGAACTCAGACATCTAAACTGTAGTCCATAATGGACAATAACAGATGGTGATTTTTTGTTACTGTGTTTCTGTTTTAAAAGGCTGGTGATGTAACTTTTAACCGTGCCAAGTTACTGAACGTCGGGTATTTGGAGGCACTGAAAGACTACAATTGGGAGTGCTTCATCTTCCATGATGTGGACCTGGTTCCTGAAAATGATCACAATTTATATGCCTGTGACAAGCAGCCCAAACATTTGGTGGTTGGCCGGAACGTCACAGGATACAAGTAAGCATGTGACTCCGAGTAAATTCCTCAAAGCCATGAGTCAGCAGTTTTAACAGTTTAGAAATTGCTGGCTGATGTTCTCTTGAAAGCGCAGATAAAGTCTTAAACAAAGAACTGTAATGTTTCTTCATATTCTTCTACTCTTAGGCTACGTTACAAAGGCTACTTTGGAGGAGTCACAGCAATGACCAAAGACCAGTTTCTCAAAGTGAATGGATTCTCAAATACTTACTGGGGTTGGGGTGGAGAGGATGATGACCTTCGCATCAGGTGAGACAGAAACAAGTGAATGGTATTTAAGAACATTAGTGTCTCTTTTTATCCCAGGAGGATATATGGTGTATGTTCATTCATTCATTCATTCATTCTTGTGCAGAGTTGGGCTGCAGAACATGAAAATTTTGCGGCCACCCCCTGATATAGCTCGCTATACCATGGTGTTTCACCAACGGGACAGTGGCAATGAAGTGAACAGAGACAGGTTAGTACATGTAGACTTGGGGATAATGTGTCGTGCTTGTTTCATTATTGGTCAGTTAAATGTATGCATCCTGATTCATGCTGCAAATTTAATCTCTTGAATTAATGTTTTTTTTAATATATTTTTTTTTGCTTCCCAGGATGAGGTTGTTGGGAAGAACACCACAGATATGGAGAAGGGATGGACTCAATAGCTGCTCATATAAGACTTTGTCAGTAGAGAGGCTGCCTCTTTATGTGAATGTTACTGTGGACATTGGTAAGCCAGGGAGTTGAGATGTCAAACAGGAAACCCTGCTGTGGTCCCAACATATTGTGATATATTTTATACAGTATGTTTAGACCACAGACTGCAGAGAAGCAACTACTGTGTCCAAGATGTTAAGCACACAAAATACACATTGTTTTTGATTAGTTTACGTATTAAAACTAAGCTCAGCAGGCAACTACATCATTGGACGTTTTTTTTTTGCCTATCATGATGCCTTAATTTTTTTATATTGTGACGAGCCTGCAAAAAAATAAAGGAAAAAAGAATTAAAACAATTTTATTTTCCTGTCAGTTAATGATTGGCTTTTGTCAAATAATATAAATATTCCTGGTATTGTTGTAAATGTATTGCTGAAACATACACCTGTCAGACTCTTTATTTATATGTATGTCTTAAGCATGATATATTGCAGCATAAAACATGCTGATAGTTTATATATGTGTATTTTGTGTGCTTTATTCTGTGGATGCATTGACTTTTTCTAAAGCCTCTACAGATGCAGGTGTTGTTACATATTTTGCCTAATTAGACATTAGCTTAGGACTGTCTGGGAGGTACAGACTGACTGACTGACTGATAGAAATCTCTGTTAAGCTCATGTTACATTGCTTCTATTAGGGCAAAACTATTTGCACCTTTTAATACGAGTACATAGAATGTAGTGACCTCATGTTTCCCAGCATAGCTCTGCCCAACGTTAGACTGAGCAGAAGTCTAATTAGCCAGATAACAGAGATCACTGTTGTAGGTGTGCAGAGCCTGTAAGATCAAAGTTAATGTTTAGGTTTGAGTCTAGGCTGCTTGGAGATGTTTGATTGGTAGCGTAGGTGACAATGACATGTTACACACAACCGTAGACTATGTGTAATCTGATGTAAAGTGATCAGTTGATAAGAGTAATTATTTCATTAAAGCTGAATTAATTTTCCTGCTAAATGGCAGAAAGACAGAACATGGTAACACTAATGCCTAAAACAATTACAGTGCCTATAAAAAAGTAATTATCCCCCTAGAGTCACCATGTTTTACAGTGTTGAAGCACAGTTGGCTTTTTTAGACACAGATCAACAAAAATCTTTATTGCCTTAAAAAAAATTAAAGAAAGAATTCCTCTAATTCAAGTGCAAATAAAGAACAATATAAAGGTAAAGACACATTGACAAGACACTCTTTTAGGTTAAATGCATCTAGTGTACATGTACTGGATCTGGCAACAACTTTTAATAAGACAACCACAGACATAAAGTAGGAAATACAAATGAATGGCTGTTTCTGGTGTTTGCTGATAGAGGACATCATTAACATTAATCTCCTGACATTACTGCTGTGCATCATAAAGTGAAGGATTAAAAAATTTAAACATTAGTACTTTGGGTACAGAATAACTATAGTTTTGCATCAGCCCTACAGCAGACAACAGATGAACCTTGTGTGCAGAAGATGAAACACGGACCACTGTAAAGCAATAATAATATATAGAGGACTAATCATATTAAGTGATACTCAACTGAAATGTTATTTTGAAAATGGTGATAAGTTATATTTATATTGGTCAACTAAGGTATTGGTATTATATTTATATTGGTCAACGTTTGCTCAAATTTGAATCAGATAGTTTTGTTCTCTTTTTTTTTGTGTACAAAACAGTGTAAATAACTCAAGTCACATGGAATCTGATCTTTTCCAGTTCAAATTTGTGCCACTTTCATATATAGTCCGTCAGATACAGATCAAATTTTTTTTTAAACCTCAGTGTGAACGGTCAGATTGGAATTCATGTGACTGACTCACTCCAGAGCGACAGTTGTCACAATTCTGCACTAGCGGAAATAAAGCGTAGAATAAATTGCTTCACAAAAGCCAGGATTAAAAATTTGTCTCTCTGTCTCCTCATCCTCATTATCATTTGCTCACGAATTCCCTTTCTTCCATGTGGAGTCTACTTAAAAATAAAACTGCAAACGCTAACCTCTATGTCCACATTTTGAAAATAATGGGAACAGTCAATAAAAACAACCTGATTTGAGCAATAAAGCCTGCTCTAGGCTAGGTAGGCTACTAAAGAACTAAACTAAATTATTATCATCTTTGGCTGCCCTGGGCCAACTGGCTTTATTTACAGATCTTGAGGACCTTGACCATCTTTGGATGAACTCTGTTTTAGTCTTAAAGTAATGTAAAGTAAAAAAAAAAAAGAAATGTGTGTGATTCACTCATCAAGTGTGATAAAGAAATAAATATTTCATTTTATTTTAATTAATGTACATATTGAACTGTTAGACTAGAACTTTATAATAACTACAGATTGCTCTAGCTTTCACACTGATTGACTGAACAATGCTTCATAAATCTGCAGTATTTGGTAGCCATTATAAATATATACATTTAGAAAACTAGACCACTCCACTCCTGAATGAATGTTTTGGGGGGAGGGTTTCTACAGTGGGTTGAAAACTTTTACATGTAAAAATATATTGCAAGTGCAGAAGTTACACTACAAATTCTGAAAAAGATTTTGTTACATGATCCCATCCTAGAAAATGTGTGGTAATAGTGTAGCATCAAAAACTTTTTATTTGAATAATTTTTTTAATATGAATCATTGTATGAAATTCAAAGAGATGCCATTAGGGAATGTCATTTAGTATACTGATGTTTGGCTTATATTAATTGGAGAACACTGATCATACATTTCACTTTTAATAGCATTATTTTTCTTTTTAGAGCACTGGTATAATAAATGGTATTTTTTCTTATGAATGGGCTCATGGTGTTATGTGTTCCAGGGCAAAAATGCACAGTCTTGGCACCACAATTTTGATTTTACCCCATAAGATATGTACATGAATATTAAGGTGTTTGTTTTATTTTTGTCAGGAATAAAAATAAATAAATATCGACGATGGCTGCTTGATTGCAACAAATACTGTAATTGGGACAATTAAATCCTTATGCTGTTTAAGGGAATTAAGCTGCTTTTGTTGTGGAAATTTGATTTGAATTGAAAAATGTCTGTAATGTTGAGAATAATGTTGAGGATTTAAAACAATTATTTTAGTTTCTGATATTCCCGGTGTCATGACCAGATCCTGACCACTGCTCCTTGCTCCACTTGCCCTATCCCTTCCAGTGGATGGTTTCAGCATAAAACGCCCGACCCCCCTGCTTATTTTGTTACTGTGTGATGGTAGTATTTTGACAGCAGACAACAGTCCCACCAAGATGGCAACAGCCTGCAGTGCATGATTATGGCCAGAAGAGGTCTTTGACAGCACAATATCAATTATTGGAAAAACATCTTGAGGGAGGTCTTTTGGTCCTTGTTAATTACTGAATGTGTGCTTTTATTGCCAGGCAATTTGTGCAATAGTAGCCTTAATAAATCATGATGATATCTGGATTTTGTGAGAAATGTGGGAAGATGTCACACATAGGACAAGTGTGGACCAAATACAGGAAAACCAACAAATGTGAGCTAAATAAAGACATTTTTGATAAAAATATATCACAAATCAGACAAGCCATTTCCTCAAGGAACAGTTTTTTGGCCTCAGGAAAAAAAACCCAACAGATTTATGTAAACGAGTTGCTATGATATTTAATTCTCCAGGATTTGAGGGTGGTAGAGTTGCTAGTGGACTTTGATTAGGTTGAACACTGAACATTACATGGTGGATCAAATCAGCTCCTCACATTCCCTTTGAATGCAGTTTAGTGCCTCCATGACACTTTGTTGGTGAAAAGAGAGATACTGTGTGTGAATATAGACTATAGTATCCCCAACAGGAATTGGCCAGTACTACTCCCTAAAATCCACAGCTGACAGCAAGTGAAATCCTTTTTCGAATTAAATTTTAGCATGGTTTAGTGCCTTAATGATTCAGTTTTATTTATTTGGAGTATCACAGTAACCATATTATGTGTAGCGTCAGAATCCACAAATTTCTCTCAAGATTTAGGCTGGCTGTTTCAGGCTTTTACATAAAACTTTATTGAGGTATTTAACATGTAACTTGAATTTAAAAATGTGTCGTCTCCACCTTCAAATCAACAACATTTCTTATATAAGGAGTACTTTGTCTGTTTCCCTCATTGCATCATTTCCACTCTGGCAGATGCAAATTTATAACCATTAAGACATTGCGTCACTCTGAGGACATGAAGTACTAAAAGTAAGGACAAGAATAACCCCTTATTATTCAGATACAATGAAATGTCTTCTTAGCTTAGACTTTTTTTTTTCTTTACCAGAGCAGAGAAAGGGCGGGATGTCTGAAGCTTTGTATCGACAGAATGATGTCATCTCCTCTTCCTATGGTGCAGAAAGAAAGCTTTGTCTTGTGGAGGCCAGGCCTGGTCATCAAGCTCACATGTGACATTCACAAAACTCTTTTAACACAAAAATATCACCTCTGCAAGTCAGAACACTATGAGATACTCTACAAACTAGTCCATTCAGATATGGAAATAGAATGATGTGTAAAGTGTTGTTCCTGCCTTTAATCATAATAACCCTTGTATGACTATGAGTGTAAGAATTCATCAGGGGGAAGTTCATATCTTTATTTGCAATAGCACAGTTATGGAAAACAATGCCCAAGTCCTTTAGATTAAATATAAAATCCAGACATAATCTTTACAATGGACAGAAAAAGTCTACACACCCCTATTAAAATGCCAGGTTCTTATGATGTATAATGAGACAAAGAAATCATGTCAGAAGTTTTTCCACCTTTAATGTGACCTATAATGTGAACAATTCAATTGAAAAACAAATTGAAATCTTTGAGGGGGAAAAATGAAAAATAAAACCCCTCATAACCTGGTTGCATAAGTGTGCACACCCTTAGACTAATACTTTGTTAAAGCACCTTTTGATTTTATTACAGTAGTCAGTCTTTTTGGTATGAGTCTATTAGCTTGGCACATCTTGACGTGGCAATATTTGCCCATTCTTCTTTGCAAAAGCGCTCCAAATCTGTCAGATTGCGAGGACATCGACTGCACAGCTCTCTTCAGATCACCCCACAGATGTTCAATTGGATTCAGGTCTGGGCTCTGGCTGGGCCATTCCAAAACATTAATCTTCTTCTGGTGAAGCCATGCTTTTGTGGATTTGGATGCTTTGGGTCGTTGTTATGCTGAAAGGTGAACTTCCTCTTCATCTTTCTAACCGACGCCTGAAGGTTTTGTGCCAAAATTGCCTCCACCCTGAGTAAGTCCCCAGTTCCAGCTGAAGACAAACAGCCCCAAAGCATGATGCTGACACCACCATGCTTCACTGTGGATATGGTGTTCCTTGGGTGATGTGCAGTGTTTTTGCACCAAACATACCTTTTGGAATTATGGCCAAAATGTTCTACCTTGGTTTCATCAGACCATAATACATTTTCCCACATGCTTTTGGGGGACTTGATGTTTGTTTTTTCAAACTTCAGCCGTGCTTGGATGTTTTTCTTTGTAAGAAAAGGCTTCCGTCTTGCCACCCTACCCCATAGCCCATTCATATGAAGAATACGGGAGATAGTTGTCAGATGTACCACACAGCCAGTACTTGCCAGAAATTCCTGCAGTTCCTTTAATGTTGCTGTAGGCCTCTTGGAAGCCTCCCTGACCAGTTTTCTTTTCATCTTTTCATCAATTTTGGAGGGATGTCCAGTTCTTGGTAAAGTCACAGTTGTGCCATATTTTCTCCACTTGGTGATGACTGTCTTCACTGTGTTCCATGGATATCTAATGCTTTGGAAATTCTTTTGTACCCGTCTCCTGACTTATGTCTTTCAACAATGAGATCTCTCTGATGCTTTGAAAGCTCTCTGCAGACCATGGCTTTTGGTCAGAGATGCAACTAAGAAAATATCAGGAAAATCCTACTAGAACAGCTGAACTTTATTTGTGATTAATCAGAGTCACTTTAAATGATGGCAGGTGTGTAATGACTTCTAGTTAACCTGAGTTTGAATGTGATTGGTTAATTCTGAACACAGCCACATCCCCAGTTATAAGAGGGTGTGCACACATATGCAACCAGGTTATTGTAAGGTTTCTATTTTTCATTTTTCCCCCTCGAAGATTTCAGTTTGTTTTTCTATTTAACTGTTCACATTATAGGTCACATTAAAGGTGGAAAAAGTTTTGACATGATTTATCTTTGTCTTATTATTTTACATCATGAGAACCTGGCATTTTAACAGGGGTGTGTAGACTTTTTCTGTCCACTCTATGTCCAAATATATTGGCTGGGTTCACACATGTTCTAAACTATTGGATGGAAAGTCAGCCGTTTCAGAGCAGCCCAGCAGCTCAGTGGTACCGTGGGTTTGTGCACGTTTCTTCTGGGTGCTCCAGTTTTCTCCCACGGTTCAGTGTCATGCAGGTCAGGTGAAAATTCACATGTGAATATTTGTGTGTGTGTGTGTGTTTGTTTGTTATTAGTCACATTTCCTTTGAGCCATATGTATGCTGGGATAGGAATAAGCAGGTAGAGCAGATGGACGGATGAAGTCCTTAAATTTCAATTGGAAAACATTTTCTTCAATGAAAATATGCCAAAGACAAAAAAAACTAGACTACTTAACTAACGTACTTAAAGCTGCTGTCATTAATATTTTTTATTTGAACAAAAGATCACATGACTGCTTGTATGTGAGAGGGGTAGCTTGTAGTGAAGAATCTACATAGAATTATCACACACCTCTGCAGTGTTTCTCAGCTCTACTGAGAGTTTTTGGTCTCATTTCTTTGGTTTTGCGACTTCACTGTTTTGAATTAGCAACTGAAGAGCCGCATACTTGTACCTACATAGTTGGTGGAAACCAAAAACAATGCTATAAGAGTGAATATTGCACTGGGCAACTGTTAGAAAAATGTTCATATATCAGTTTAAAAGGTTATAATTTGTCTGTGTTTTCACAACTTGTGTTCATTGCCCCCACGTGACCAAAAAAATCACTTGTTATTAAAGGTTTAAGTACGCTAAGCTTTTAAGCTATGACGGTTGAAATAGGACTTGGAAACTATAACTGTTGCGCATCATGCGACTGTGCAAGTTTAACATTTCTTTATGATACTATGAAGGTCTGAGCTCAGAAGCATCAAAATAACTGGCACCTGCTTTTCACTTCTTCAGTGGTAACAAAATTATGGAGTACAATTAAGAGGTGAGTAAGACAATCAGTGTTTTTGTAAATACAATACATCAGCAAGTGTATGCCAGTAGCTGAATAACCAACCAGTATTATGTCACATTTTATAAGTTGGAATCTGTTAGTGGTTTCTGTGGTTCCAGAGACTTTATGTCCTAAGTTTCCAGCAGACATGAGAAGCTAGTCTGACATTCTGTTTGATGCCTACATAGCGTAGCTTTTCTGTCTTGTGTCAAATCACTGTGATTAGTGGTGGTTTGACAGTGGTCCAACAGGGGTATACAGTGCAAGTAGTGATTAGCTGTTAAAATATCCCCTCAGGGAAGGTGTAATATTTTACATCTGTAAAAGTCAATTTATGGAATTTAGGTTTTGGGATCTTTAATTTCCTACGTCAACTACAAATATGAGGAATACATCATAACTGCCCAGGAGTATTTCATGATCTTTCGCTGGAGAATGCAGGGATCTAATTTGATTACATTTTCTCAGGACAGGAAGTAGCAAAGATACTTATTAAGTATTGGATGAAAACATTATTTGCTTAACAAGATTATCATCCATGCTATACGTTCATTGATTATGTCTTTGCAATTCATTTGCAGTCCAGTTTGAAAAAGAAAAACATGAAATGCATAGAAGTTAGTAATGAGAACCATGTGTGTTGTCCATCTCCTCACCCCAACCCCCCCCCCCCCCAGTCTCCCCCCATTTCCCATCTGTGCCCTTCAGGCCCTCACTTCAGTCACCTCCCA